AAAAAAAAAGCCCCCAAACTTGTAAATTGAACGTCAAGGGAACTTTACACAATTTCAAAGGCCATAAATAATGATAAAGGGACCAGGCGAAGAGGCAAACCCAGGCAATTAATGGAGGTTCCCAAGCAAAGATCAAGTGGTTTGGAAAATAAAATTAAATGAAAAAAAAAAAAAAAAAGGAAAAAAAATAAAAAGGAGAGGGAAAAAAAAAAAAAAGGAAAGGAGGGGAATTGACTGGGGGTGGGATCCCTCCTGCCTTTGGGAAGTTGAAGTCTTCCCGGGACAATGGTGCTGGCTGTGCCCCTGGGCTTGGCTTTGGGGGGGTTCTGCAGACAAACCCTGCCTCAAAGCGGCTTTTGGCCGGGGGGAGGGTCCCCCAAAACCCAAGGATCAGCAGGAGATCTCTCTCTCCTGCCTGGCCTGAAGCTCTTAATGAGCCGCCGCTCGTTGCCAGCTAATTGATGCCCGTGTTTTCCAGGGGAGGATGGCACACGTGGGCCCGTGCTGGCTGCCAGGACCGTGCTCTGTCCCCCACATCCGACCCCTCTTGGCCGCACACCCTGCAGACCCCCAAAACTCTGCCCATCCCTCTCCGCAAGCTTTTACCTCCCCAAAAAGGAGCCCTGTGGGATTGGGGTCCCAGCCTCCCCCCCAGCCCTGGGCGAGCGGCATTTTCAGCTCCCCCCCTCCCCAAAACCCCTTTCCCTGCTAATTCGCCCTCCCAAAGCCGGTCGTGTTCCCGTGCCCGGATATCTGGGTCAGTTTATCCCCCGGCCACCATCTGAAAACGTTCTTTTCTCGGCAGAAACAATTACAGGGGAGGGAGGGGGGCAGCTCATTGCTTTTGGGTCCCGGCGCACTTTCCGCTGCCCATCATCCCCGGCTGGATGCAGTTTTTGGGGTGCTGAGCAGGGATTTCGGGCTTTCCCCGGCTGGAGGAAGGATTTTCCCGGAGGTGCTGCCCGGGGGGGTGGATGGCTCTGGAAGCAGCTGCCTCTGGGGATGGGGAGGGGAGGGGGGGGGTTGTGTGATGTGTGTGCACAAACACTTTTGGGGCCCATCTCCGACTTCAAGGGACTGGGAAAAGTTTACTTATCCAGCTCATTTCCATATGTCCTGGCTCCGTCTTGCGGAGGCCACCACATGTGCAGCAGCGCGGCGCTCGGGGTTTTTCCCAGCCCCGCAGAGGGTGGGATTTTTCCCCGTGGATTCTTCGTGGCCGCTGTTTCTCTCCCGTATTTTTCCCTTTCCCCCTTTTCCCGTGCTCCAGCAGGCGATCGCAGCCTTCTCCTGCCTCCCTCCCCTCCTTGTGCAGCACGGACGGAACCGAGCTAAACCCAAAATCCCCTCCAGCATCATTCCCAAAGCGAGCGGACGGCGAGCAAAGCGAGCGAAAAGGGGAATTTTTTTTTTTTTTTAAAAAAAATCCCTCTTTTTTTGTTGTTTTTTTCCAGGAAAACCCTTCTGGATTGCGGGAAGAGATAATTAGGCACGGTAATCCGGCGGGGCATGGAAATGTGTACCCAACACCCCGCTCCTGCAGCTGTTTTTATTGTCAGCCCCCTTCAAAATTTGCCCACAAACAAGTGCCTTTGCAGGACGGGAGTATTATTTCGGGCAAGAATGGACTTTTTGTTCGGCACATAATTAGCTGATTTTTTTCTCCCGGAGGGGAAAAGGGAAAAAAAAAAACCCAACCCAAAAAAAAAAAAAAAAAATAAATAAAAATAAAATAAAAGCGCTGTGCGATCCCTGATTGTGGCAGGAGCAAGCGGAGCGTGATCGCGCCTGGGAACAGGAACAGGAACCAGGGGAGCCCCACACCTCAAGAGCCGTTCCCAGTGGGGATAACCCCGGAGATCTCGTGGAAATGCAAGCTCCAGAGGGTCAGGATTGGTGAGGGGAGCAGCTTTCCCCCCTCGGCTGGAGCCGCTTTGAGATGTGGCACCGAAACGCCGCTCCAGAGTCACCCGGAGCGGGGAGTGCTGAGGAGCAGGTGGCTCCTGGCAGCTCCTGTCCCCAAAAAACCTCAGCAGGGGAGGAGGAGCGGGGATGCTGGGGCAGGTTTTGTAGGGTGGGTGTGACTCTGGCAGAAATCAAGGCAGGGAGGGGACGCATCTTTCCTGAGCGAGGAACAGCAAGGAGCAGCGAAGGAAGGCTGGGATGCGCTCCAGCCCTTCCAGGTGGGAATCCACAGGGCACAGCATCCCTCCAGCTGGGCCTGGGACCTGCTTCGGGCACCCCCAGGCTGGATTCCCTCGGGATCCATCCTCCCAGAGGGGACAGCTCTGATTTCCAGCAGCCCATAAAACCCAGGGACTTTCTCCAAAGAAAAAAAACTCAGCCTTTCCCCAGGCTCTCTCCAGCTGATTCTTGCATTTACCGGGGAAATTTTAATTGCGTGGGAAACGTCACCGGAATCGCCTCACCCTGCAAGTGCTTTTAAAGCCTTTTTTATTTTCTTTTTAGGAAAGGGTGGTGAGACCCTGAGCAGAGCTAAAACCCCCCTCCCAAAAAAAAGAAAAGAAAAAAAAAATCAGTGAGTTCTTAATGATGCAGGCATCAGGTGCGAGCCAAAATCAGGGATGCAGCCGGGGGAAAGGGGGAGACAGTTCCGTGCACGGCTCCAGGATTTTGGGAGGTGTGGGAAGGCAGGGTTTGCCCCCTGGCTGTGCACCAGGGATGCACCCCCTCCCCACGCGTGCCCGAGGGGAAGCTCCTCCCTCCTCCCCCCTTCCCTTCACAGGGAGGGGGGAAATAAAGCAAAAAAAAAAAAAGCAAAAAACAAAAAAACAATCCCCAAACCTCTCATTCGCCGCTTAATCCCATTAACTCCTTCGCGTGTTCCCGTTTGAACTCCTTCCAGCCCTCCCCGGAGGATCCCCCCACTTCCACTCCACGCTTCTTATTTTTTTTTTCTGTGCTTTTTAATTTATTTTTTTTTTTGTTTTTCCCCTTCCATCCTCCCTTATTCCCCATTTTTCCTCCCTTTTCTCCTCCCTCCGCCACCGCCCTTTTAACAAACTTGAAGGTGCTCGGGATTTTTGGGTAAGGAAATAAAAAAAAAAAAAAAGAAGCTAAAAGGGTAAAAAATTAACACGGTGCAGAGTAAAAAAAATAAAAAAAAAATTAAGATTGACTTCCATAATCCCAGCTCTTATCCCTAAATTCGTTCGGATAATGGGAAATTGGCTATTTCAAAAATTATTTTAAATGGAGACATATTTAAACAACCGGAGTCCGAGTATTTTAAGAGCCTTACAGGAGACCTTAATCAAACACATCGCCACGGAGAGTTTAGTAGTGACAGACCCTCTCTCATTCCCGGCTTTTTCTGGAATCGAGTTGAGAAATGCACCGGTTTAAAAAAAAATAAAATAATAATAATAAAAAAAATTTAAAAAAAATTCCCGAATAAAAGTCTAAAATATTCCCAGGTCAGAGGGGCACCGTCTCATTAAAACCAGCGCGGTCCTGAAACTGCACTGCAGACATTAAAGTGCAGTATTTTTCAATTAGAGCTGACGAATTCAATCAAAATTCCATAGATTAGGATGAAATGAGGCATGGGTCATTTACAGGGGAATTTAATTGCAGAGCCATTAGACAAATAGTATATTTGCCATTCTCACATTATCCATCATTTTAGACATCAATAGAAGGAGCAGCATCTTTACTAATACAGCAGCACTTCCCAATCTCTGCCTGTAAACACTCCCTTTCCCCACAGCTCCTGATTATATCTGATTTCATTTAAAGCCATGGGGGATTATAAATGTTCCTGCAATCAGGTTCATTAGGACTTCAAAAATCTCATTTCTGATTCGTATCGCTTTGCGGATCGCCCAGCGCTTTAAAAAAAAAAAAAAAAAAAAATTAAAAAATTAAATAAATAAATAGATTAAAAAATAAAAAAAAAAAATAATAAAAAAATTTTCAAACGTTGTTTCATTACCGGGGCCACTTCGGGTTTGATTATCACCCTGAGGAGCTCCTGCTCAGATGGTGAGAGGCAAGCTCGGCTTCCCACTGGGATCATCACCCCCCCTGCATCCCGGGAGGGCTCGATCCTGCTCCAGAGGGTCCCCGGGTAGGGAAAAAATCACCAGACGGGACAGCAAAACCTGGTTAAAAATATTTTTCTTTAATTTTTTTTTTAATTTTTTTTTTTGCTGTGGAGGGTGCGCATCACTCCTTAACTCTCCCCAGCTCCTCGCAATCAGAGAGGTGTGTGCAGCAGGGCGGGGAATTCCCATTATTTGGAAATTGTTTTGCAGCTGGACCATCGGTGCTTTAATACCGCAGGGTGGGAAAACGAGCAGGAGCAGCCCAACCACACACACACACACACACACAAAAAAAAAATAAAAAATCCTCGAGGAGAGAGAGAAGGTCCCTGACATTTTTTTCCTTAATAGCAGCTTAATATTAAACGCCTTTCATAAAACACGCACATCCAGATACTCAAAAAAAATAAAAGAGGGAGGAAAAATAAAGAGAAAAAGCCTTCATTTCCCCCAAATGTATGGCGTGTGCAGCGCTGTGTTAGCTGCCTCAGTAATTTAATTGGAATGAAACGTGAAAAATGTGTCATTTTTTGAAGAATTTATGCATCGCTTCCTGGAAATCTCATTGTCTTAACTAGCAGCCTACTGTGTTCTGTTTAGCAGGCATAATCGCATTTTTATGTGTCTCCGTATTAGAAGTTAATGTGACCTCCCGTCTTTAGCTGCTGGAAAATAATAATAATAACAACAACAACAAAAAAGCCCCAACAAAACAACAACAACAACAAAACCAAAAAAAAAAAAACCAACCCACAAAAAAATCCCGAGCCTTTCCCTAGAACATCTGCATCAAAACAAGGAAAAAAAAAATAAAATATATATATATATATATATATATAGGATGTGTATATATATATATATATATATATATATATATATATAAAAGCCGCCCGTCAAATTTATCAACCCCAGCCCGGAGCATCATCCCACTCGGAGCATCATTATCATCATCATCATCATCATCATCATCATCATCCCGCCCGGAGGATCATC